TGGGTGGCGGGGGGGGTTGTTTGGTTGTTTTACTTTGGGGGCATAGAGGAGAAGGTTGCTTATGGAATATTTGGCTCTGGATGAGCTTCACCACTCTGTTAAATTCCTTGGACAAGCCACTGTGTATTTACCGTTTATACAGCTAAAACCATTCTCCTCTCAGTGCTTAGAGGATACTGACTAATACTGGTGAAGAGTTACATTATCTTGCTTACTGAAGTTGGTGAGAGTTAACTGCACAACAGGAGTGGATGGTGCACAGAAACATTTACCCCAACACACCCGACTGTCCACTTCTAGTATGTCACCTTACACAAAGTTTTCAGATCAGGCATAATCTAGGGTAGTCATCACAAAAGATGGCATTATTTATGCTTCACTAATTTGCCTGAAGCCAAAACTTCCAATCCATTCTTACCTGGTTTCAACTTGCTAAGCTCATATATTTTCTTTTAATGAATTTTATGGCAACAAGCAGTAATTCAAGCCCTACATATACCGGTAATAAAGAGACAGACTTACCTAGGACTACCCTGATTGTGAAACTCCTCATCCCCACAACTGGTTTCATCAAGACTGTGGCAGGTATTACGAATGGCATAAACAGACATGCTGGGATGCTCTATTAGAAGGTTCTCCATAGGACTTGTTTCCACCTTAATAGTGGTTAATCCACCTGCTGTAAAGCACGGGGGAGGGGTAATAAACCAACTCTCCTCCATGGGACATGATTCGAACTGGATAAAGCAAGACTCACTGGCATCAGCCAAACACTCTAAAGAAGTTGGTAAACAAGAGAAAACTGGTGTGGTGTCAGAAGCTGACGTTTCGCTGATGTCCTCTTCTTCTGTTGAGAAATTAGTGCAAGTGTCTAGTGGAGGTTGGCCATCATTCAGGTTGTCACATGATTAGGATGAAGCCACCATACATCAACAATTGCAGGAGACAAAGATCACCAAGTCCATGTGGAGCAAGAACAGAGAGAGAGAGAGAGAGAGAGAACCACAGATATCATTAGCATGAACACAAATATTTCACAAATAAGAAGAGTGGGTGGGGAGTTTCCCCTAACAGCTTGATTCAGATATAGAAACAAAAATAAAACAAATAGAAGACTCTTGCCAGAATAAGCAATACCAAATTGTGTAATAAATGGTCAGACTTCAGTAGAACCACTTGTTTGAACTGGCTATGCTTGTGACACTGATGTCAGTTTCCCTATGCACCTAACAAGTTAAAAAACTACTACACAACATCCATGTTAAACTAAAAAAATAAAATAAAATAAAAATATTTTGGAGCCCCTGGTTTCTTTATGCATAAGTACAATAAATAACCCTTATGCTAAAAGATGTGTTTAACAGGTTTCTTACCTATGAAGTCAACTAGAATCCATTCCTCATCTTCTTTCTCACTGAACTCTGGTTCTTGACTGGACAAATTATTGATCTCTCCAACAAGCATATTATTCAGCCTCTGGAACATTACTAAGGCAAAAATTAAACTTTGGCTACTTAGTCTTTGTATTCAAGATTTGAGACACGGCTTGCACTGTGCTAGCAGAGTGGCACAGACAGGAGATTAAAGTGCATAGATGCTTTATCAGCTTAAGTACAGAACACGGAGAGTCATGACTTGTAAACAGATTATACAACACCTGCAAAGAAAAAAAGTAGGTCTTAATAATGAAGCAAGTAATATATTTATAACTGACAAGTTACATACAAGTCCAGTTCCTGGCAGATTTGAGACAAGTCTACATCTGCCATGAGAAAATACAGGTGCTTCATTGGCCCTTAGATTTCCCTCCCCCCTGACCACCCCAATCCCCATACACAGGAAGAGGCCTGGTAGATGAGAGCCCTAAAGGGCAGTTTTCTTACAGTGTTGTCAAGAGCTTATTGTGGGTTCTACCCCATGCACAGGACTGTCTGCGCAGCTCCAGATCCCAACTCTGGGAATGTAAGGGAGAGAAGGGCCAGCCAGAGAAATCTGTAGGGCCCTTGCTAAACTTTTGCTAAAGGCTCCTCCGGATTAGTCCTACTTATGACATCCCCTAGGACTTTTCCAATCCTCTGTATAAAGACAGCTTGGGAAGAAGAAAGGCTCAGAAGGAGTTTTTACAGACTGGACCTATATCATCTTCAGGTAAATAATCCAAACAGTGAAGCATGTAACCCCTTCCATCTAATTACCTAGATAGTAGACTGTGTAGCAAGAGTAGTTAATGAAGACACTGGATCAGGGGTGGGCAATTATTTGGGCTGGAGGGCCACTTAACAAGTTTTGGCGAGCTGTCGGGGGCCACAAGGATAGCCCCGCCCCTTGACAGGCATCCCACCCCCTGGCACCCATCTTGGAACCAGAAGTCCTACCTCCTAACCCCTGACCTTTGCCACTGGAAGTCCCTCCCCTTACCCCTGGAAGTACTTCTTTTGACAAGGGGGCTTGTCATCTTGGAACTGGGCAAAAAACCCAAATTCTACTGTATTCTATAAAACAACAAAAAGCCAAACATCTACTATACAACATACATTAAATTTGATTTCAACAAATATTTTTGTCCCGATTTGTGTGTTTGTGTAGTGTACAAGGGCTGTTTTAAAAGTATTGAGACGGATAATATTTTATTTACAGGGGTTTCAGCTTAAATCTCCTTTGAAATATGCTCCTTCTGCAGCCATGCATTTCTCCCAATGTTTCTGCCATTGCTGGAAGCACCTCCGATAAGCAATTTATAGCTAAAAGCTGCTCAGTCGCATTTTGTTTGATAGTTTCCACATCACAAAATCTTCCTTTCAAGGTTTTCTTTAGTTGAGACCTCTTTCTCTCTTCCCTCATGGGGCCATATCAGGTAAATATGGAGGCTGCAGCACTTGTGGGATATGGTGTTTGGCTAAAATTTGCTTCACACGCTGTACTGAGTGGGCAGGCGTGTTGTTGTAGTAAACCATCCAAGAGCCGGACACCCACTTTTCTGGTAGTTTCATTCCCAAATTGCCAGTTAGAATTGAATGACATAAACCAACAGAAATTCCAACTTCTTCTGCTCTCTCTCAGACAGTCAATCGCCTATCATTTGGAACCAAACTGCGAACTGCTGCCACACCGTCATCATTTCATGATGTTGAAGGGTATCTGGAACGCTCACGACTTTCGACCAATGATCATCCTTCTTTAAGCCAACAATACCATTCAAAAACTCTTGCACAGCTCATAGTGTCATCACCAAATGCTATTTTAAGTTATTCAAACGTTTCACTTGCCATTTTCTGATTTTCATGCAAAATTTAATGCACAAGCATTGTTCTGGACACTAACATAATGAAAGGGGACGCAAGATACAAACGATCTTACTTCAAACAGATGGCCACTGAAATCTGGGGAAACACCATGAGCTGCAAGCCTGTCCAGAGGAGTCCCAACATGCCCAGACATGTTCAGCAAAGCCCCCCTCCCATACTTTGTACCACAAGTTTAGTCTCAATAATTTTAACAGACCTTGTACATGTAGGTGATGGCATAATAGCTTAAAATGAAGTCTTACTTTTGTAAAGGGGCAGGGAGGAAATGGGTCAGTGGCTCCAGGGTTTGTGGGGTGGGGTGCAGGGAAGTGTGAAGGGGTTTGTGCATGTGAGGACCCCCCCTAGAAATGCCCCCCCCATTGCACACAGCCCCTGCCACGAGTGGCAGCTACAGGTGGCAAGGCTTCAGGGCGCTCACAGCCCACAGAGATCCCCAGCAGTGTGCCATCCTGGCAACCCCCAGGGCTGCATTCGGCCAGGCCGCTGATAGGGAGAGAGGCGGAGCCAGCCTAGCATCATAGAGCCCCTGCCAGCCTGGGCTCTACACTACTGCCACCCCAATCTAGGCCCCCACCAGCCCCAGCCCTGGGGCACCAGCACAGACCCTGCGCTCCCACCCACCTGCTCACTGCCACTTCCCAACCCCTCCCACCTGCTACCGCTGCCCTTCCCCTGCTGCTTCCCTACCTTCCCACCCACCACCCACTGCTCCAGCAGCCTGGCCAGGACTACAGAATGCAGCACCAGCTAGCCCAGTTCCTGGCTGGCTCCTGTTGTGCCATGCTGTCCCGGCCAGGCAGCCAGGAACCATGTGGTGCAGGCCAGGCTGGCTCTGGTACCATGCAGTTCCCAGCTTCATGGCCCTGGACCATGAATGCAGCAGGAGCCAGCTCAGCCCAGTTGGCACCACATGGTTCCCAGCTGCATATCTGGGACTGCATGGCACAGCAGGAGCCAGCTGGAAACCGGGAGGGCTGGCCGAGCTGGCTCCTACTGCATTCTGCAGTCCAGGCCATGCAGCTGGGAACTGCATGGTGCTGGCTGGGCCGGGTTGGCTCCTGCTGCATTTGCACCTTTCTGCACCCCCATGCCCATTCTTATCTGAGTTTCGACTCTCGGACAGAGGGAGGGCTGGGGAACAGCTCCATGGTTGCCAGGCCAGAAGCCTCTGCTGGCTGGTTGCAGGCTGGGGGAGGAGGAGCCTTGCTGCTGCTATTGCCACTGGGACCTGCCATCACTGGGTCCTGCTGCCAGCACCTCATCAGCTTTTAGACAAGCAACCACTGGCACGTAACAGGTTTCCTAACTTTTAGAGGGGCCCCACAGGCTGGACAGAATGGCTTGGTGGGTCAGATCTGGCCCATATTTTGCCCACCCCTGCTCTGGATACATCACCAATTAGAGGGGAAAAAAAAGAAATAGCTGCCTTGTATTTTGTTAAAAGCAACATTAAGTATCCTATTGAAAAATTGAAGTTCAGACTAAAAATAGTTCATTTGAGCTTAGAATAGGTATTATAGAGTGGTTAAAATGGACAATTTATGTATTTATGCATTTATTTTTTTTCAGTTTTAGTTCGGAAAGATACTGAGTGTGAGGTACCACAGACTGGCCCGTGATGCCCACATTAGCATAAAGGTTCTCATTTGAAGACTGTGGCGTCGACACCTACGCAGTCAAATGGGTCGCTAACTGGCTGGAGGTCTGCACCCACAGAGTGGTTGTTGATGGGTCATTTTCGCCCTGGAGGGATGTGGGCAGTGGGGTCCCCCAGGGCTCAGTCCTCTGACCCGCACTGTTCAACGTCTTCATCAGCGACTTGGACGAGGGGGTAAAGAGCACCCTGTTCAAATTCGCAGGCAACACGAAGATGTGGGGGGAAGTGGGCACGCTAGGAGAGAGGAATAGGCTGCAATTGGACCTAGACAGGTTACAGGGGTGGGCAGATGAGAACAGGATGGGTTTCAACACTGACAAGTGCAAGGTGCTGCACCTGGGGAGAAAGAACCAGCAGCATACCTACAGGCTGGGGAACTCCCTTCTTGTCAGTGCAGAGGCAGAAAAAGATCTTGGAGGCCTTACTGACACCAAAATGAACATGGGCC